GAGGAGAAGCACATCCAGGATGCTTTGATCTGGCTTACTCAAAAGCAGAAGGAGAACGGCTGTTTCCGCAGTTCTGGGACGCTCCTGAACAATGCCATGAAGGTAACAGGTCTGCCTGGTTGGCTCCACATGGGCTTTGTCAGGCTGAAACTTGGCCATAAGTCACTCTGGCATCAACAGAGTTATTTCAGCAATTGGGGTATGGGAGGGAGTGAGGAATTACATATGTGGGCTGTCATAGAAGCAGGACGAAGTCAGCACCATCTTCTGAAGGACTAAGCATGAAAAAGAAGCCAGGGAGAATTTGTCCCTGCAGAATGTAGGTATGTAGCACAGGGAGAAGCCAGTGGCAGTCTGTGGGATCAACAAGTACTTCTGTTTTTCCCTGCAGGGTGGAGTGAATGACGAGGTCACACTGGCAGCCTACATCACTATTGCACTGCTGGAGATTCCTCTGCCTGTAACCGTACGTGTCTGCACCCCAACCTGAGCCACAGACAGTCCTAACCTGCCCCACTAGTGTCCCCACACCCAGATTATCAGGTCACTTTACCTTTGGAAAGAAAAAATTTTGTCTGAATAGTCTTCCCATTCAAGCCTGGACTGAAGGAACATCTTCCTCCATTTTCTTCCCCTGTCTCATTCCATATACACATTTCACTTAACATTTTTCTGAGTTCTTCTGTGGATGATAATGGAATTGCTCCATGCAGCTTGGATTGAGAATGAGAAAAAATATTTAATTCTCTGAAGTAGCCAAATAGGTTTTCTACACCTACAGAAATCTCCTTCTCAGAATAGTACAATCCTTTTGAACCATTCTTGGCCCTGTTGGGCAGACACAACACCACAGGTCTGTAAAAAAGGATGGCACTTTCAGGCATTCATTGTAATTTTCTCTACTTCTTCTAGATGGTTTTGTGGGAAATCCCCATCCTTAGGGCTTGAAGAATAAGGTATACCTATAAGGAATACCATCATGGCACTCTGTGGAAAGCCCAAAGCCTATTTAAGAGCAGTGTGGGTTTGGTCATTCTGATCCCCTCACTTTGAGACACGGTGGTGGTGCAGGTAAAACTGGGGAATGAATCGCAGCAGAAGGACTGCTGAGCCAGTGTGGTTGCCAGGCTGTTGCAATCCCTCTGCTCCAAATGTAGTAGGGAATGTTCTGTGTCCAAAGTTTTTTCCTTTGTAGCAAGAATAAGCAGAAGGCATTATTTTGTCAGTAAGGTGACATGGATGGCACTAACTTCACCAGAAGAGCATCCTTTCTTTGTCATGTGTTGTGTTTAGAAGCCAAGCTCTCAGGCAGAACCATACTGGATAACTAGGATTTTTTCCAGCTCCCTGTCTGAGACCAAAACTGCCACTGAATGTGAAGGAAGAGGTTTGTCACAATCTGAGTGGGGTATGGGGGCATTTCAGGTTAAGGTGCATGAACAAAGATTAGCACAGTCCTTAAGTAATTAAGGCTCATACAGAGTATTTCTATAAAATGCTAGAACTTGGCCATATGTCATATGGGGCTAGTTGAGCTTTGTGAGCACAGAGGGAGAGGGGATATTCCCATGCCAATGGCAAATGCTGGGAAGGGAGCTACACACCATTCTGTATTTATTGGAGATATCTTCACATCAGCTGTAAGAAGAAGGAGGCAAGCTAAAGGACTGCAATACAGAGTAATGCACTGCTCCTACAGGAGTGTGAGAAAAGACTGAGGATGTGAAGGGGGTGGTGTCAGTATCTACCTTTGTGTTTCCCTGCAGGGAGGAGTGGACAACGAGGCCACGCTGACAGCCTACATCACTATCGCCTTGCTGGAGATCCCACTGCCCGTGACTGTACGTGCCTGCATCCTAACTTGAGCCAGTTGTGCTGTGTCAGCCAACACAGTATTGACCAGAACTTGCTCCAGACTGGAAAAATGACTTGGTTGTTGAGCCCAGTGATATAAGAACTGTCACATTTGCTGTATCTGGGAGACATTGTACCCCACTTGTTTCTAGACCTCCTTTGGGCAGTCCCCTTCTGAAAGTTCAATGGGATGATGCGCTTTCAGTAAGGCAAAAGCCTCATTTCTCCCCACTCTCCTAATCACTGTCTTCATTTCCGGTCGTGAGTCACCACGCCTTACGAGAGTTCTGCCTGGAAACAGCAGCAAACCAGAAAGAAAACCACGTGTACACCAAGGCCCTGCTGGCATACGCCTTTGCCCTGGCAGGGAACAGGGAGAAGCGGAAGGCATTGCTTGACTCACTTGAAAAGGAAGCTGTGAGAAAGGGTGAGTGTTCCTGGTGGGACGTGGCTTTCACCAGCCTTACACCTCCTCTTGGTGGATTGGATTTTCCAGGTGGGGCAGTGGCTGCAGGCCCTGGCCTCTGTGGGTAGGGAAAGGTGGAGGGAGAGGAAAGGCTTGTGCAGAGGGATTGCTTTTCTGACAAGTCCCTCTCAGGGCCCAGTCCTTCTTCTCTGCTCTGAGGGAGCTCCCCAGGAAGCACCGGGCACCATCCCCTTGGTGCTGAGCCCCTGGGTGGCTCTGCTCCCATCTCTCCTCAGCCCGCTCCTCTCGCCATGGCAGGCACTGCTTAGCAAAGGCCTGGCAATGCCCAGGAACATTCCTTCCTTCCTTCCTTTGGGCATGGGCTCAATGTAGAACACAGGTGACCTTGCAGAGCACAAGGCATGTCAGTCAGGGAAGAGATGGGTGTGCTGAGAGAGAAAATGAGCATACAGGGCATTTGGGAGGCTGCAGCACGAGTTCTGAATTGTCTGGGGAAATCCTGTCAATCTTTCAGAATTATTCTGTTAAAGACAGAGTGGACAGAGGGTTTGGCCAAGCAGTAGACTGTAGCTCATAAATGTGAATGTGGAGTCTAGGACAAAGTGGTGTCTAGGCCTGAGGCTCAGCAGTCTCCTACTCATTGTCAACCTGCAAAATGTGTAAAGCTGACCCTTCCCACTTCACCCTGCATGACAGACACATCCCGGAGGCTCTGTCCTCCCAGCTGGATCAGGCAGCAGGTCAGGAAGCTCCTTGCAATATTTGCTAGTAACAGCTGCTTGTTGTCTCTCTCGCTGCCCCATGAAGATGGCTCTGTTCACTGGCAGCGGCCTGGGAAGGAGCCCGAGGCCGATCTCCCGTTCCATCGCTCCTCCCGAGCTCCCTCTGCGGAAGTGGAGATGACGGCCTACGTGCTCCTGGCTCACCTCACCTCGCAGCCAGCCCCTGCCCAGGAGGAGCTGGCCTTTGCATCCCTTATTGCAAAGTGGATCAGCAGCCAGCAGAATCCCAGTGGAGGCTTCTCCTCTACCCAGGTGAGCTGCTTCCCCCCGGCCACCTCACACATGAAGGTCAGAAGATGGGACGTGTCAGAGAGCCGGGTGGGAGCACAGGAAGTTTTGTCAGGAAGGTGGGAACTGCAGCCCTGCAATAGATGCATGCAGTACCTGCCATGGCTGCCAAGTTCCTGAGAGGCTACAGACAAATGTGTCAGGTAGTGCCTCTGGGAAGGGCAACATGCTGAAGCTGCTCTTTCCCTCTGTCTTTTCTTCTTAAGATGGGAGAAAGTGAGGATGGAGGGGAGGGTGCCAGCTGGCAGAAAGGGCAGGCTGTAGGAGGATGGGCTACAGGAGGAGAGGCTAATTGCATCCCCTGCTGGGACGCTGGGACTCGTCTCTTTCAGGACACAGTGGTTGCTCTCCAAGCCTTGTCCCTGTATGGAGCTGCCACCTATGCCAAGAGTGGGGCAGCTTCCAAAGTGGCCCTGCAATCTGGAGAGGACTTCCAGCAAGACTTCCAAGTGGATGCCAGCAACCGGCTGCTGCTCCAGCGCGTGCCCCTTCCCCAGGTGCCAGGGGAGTACAGCGTGGAGGTGTCTGGTGAAGGATGCGTCTACCTGCAGGTGAGGGTGATGGGGACAGCTGGCATCCTGGAGGGGATCCCCTGGCCAGGCTGGAGAGGACAGAATCATAGGGTCATCCAGGTTGGAAAACACTCTGAAATCATCGACTCCTTCCATTGAGGTAGAGGAGAGAAAAGAACAGGAGAGAGGGGAGAAGTGGAAGGCTGTGGGTAAAGGGCAGAGGATAGAAAGAGCAGAGGAATGTGGCAGAGAGAGTGGGAGAGAAGGAGGGAAGGCTCTGCAGTGTGGAGGAGCTGTGAGAAGCGGGGAGGCTGGCTGTGAGAGGGTCCCCTCTCTGCCACGTTGAGCGCACTCACACACTCACACTGAGCTGCTGGCTGTCCCCTAGACCAGCCTGAGGTACAACGTGCAGCCCACGCAGGAGGAGGCGCCCTTCATGCTCCACGTGCACACAGTCCCCGAGGCGTGTGGGGACTCCAAGGCTCACAAGGTCTTTGACATTGGCATAAACGTCAGGTGAGTCTGCGTTTCGGTCTGAGCTTTCCTCTTGAGCCCTGGGAGCTGAGGGAGGTCTGGTTTTCCCCAGGGTGAGGCAGTCTGAGAGTGCAGCACATTCCTGGGAAGCGGGGCAGGAGGCAGCTGGTCTGTGAGGAGAAGCTCTGGAGGAAGGACTTGTCCCTCAGAGTGGGCAGCCCAGGGCTGGGCTGGTGGGAGGCTGGGTAGATGACAAGGAGAACCTGGCACAGCTGGAGAAGAAGGTGCTGGAGTGCCAGGACTTAGTGGGGTGCCAAGTGTTATGGAAAAGCTGGAAGTGTGCCCAGCTCTGAGTTGATGCGCACTGGATCTTTGTTGCTTGGTTCCTCAGTTACACAGGGGAGCGCAATGTCTCCAACATGGTGATTGTTGATGTGAAGATGCTGTCAGGATTTGTCCCCTTGAAGTCCTCAGTGGGGAAGGTATGATGCTGTGTCAAGCATTTCTTTGAGTAGATCTGTTTTTAATATGGGGCACCAATTTCTTTCTTTAAAGTAGCATTTAATTTTTTCCTGGTATCTTCTCCACTCTTCGACCTGTCCATCTTTTCCTCCAGGTTTTCCCCCCCTCAGCTCTGGAGTAGGGGTGAATAAGAGATGCCAGCAGCAGCATTTCCTTCCCACTCCTTTAGCTCTTATGCTAGCTTGCAGTTTTATGTGCTTTTTAGTCCCAGATCAAAAGATGGAAGTGCCCCCTGGCACTGCCACCCCATCAAGTCTAATATCAGGGACTCAGAAGCCTTGGGAGATATGTGATAGCTATGACAATACTGGTCCCCCATTCCATTTTTGTATCAAGAAGGTGAAAGAGCCTGAAATGGTCAGAGCTGGGGGAAGTCTTATTGCGTGGGGCTTCATAGAAGAGTGTTTGACAAGTCCCCTGGGATGTACACTTCCTGTGCTTTACTTCTTAGCACCTACATGATGAGATTTTAGTGGTGGGGAGAAATTGAGGAAGATTGACTAACTTCCCTTCAGATCATCAACCTCCTGCACATCTCCTTTCCCCAGCTCTCAAACACACGGTTTCAGCAGATCCAGCGAACAGAAGTGAACACAAACCATGTTTTGCTGTACATCGAGCAGGTGAGGATGGCACTAACTTCACCAGAAGAGCAGGGCTGCCATGGGGCACACGCTGAGCTCTGCAGCACAATGGCAGTAGCACAAAGTGGAGATGGAGAGCACTGCTAACATCCCCGGAGCATGGGTGGCTGGGAAGAGCATCGGTGTCCCCCCAGAGCACGGGTGGCTGGGGAGAGCATGGGAGCCTGGGGACAGAGCAGAGGCACAGGGGAGCCCCTGCAGGGCAGAGCCCCCCAAAAATAGTGCTGTTTCCTTTTTCCCTTTGCTGATCTAAAAACATCTTGTAACATTGTGACCCTTTAGGTGTTGGGTGACTGTTTGAGATGCTGATTAGGTGCATGAACTGGAAAATAAAGTGGTGCACAACTAGCAAGCCAGAAGGAACGTATTTTCGTTTAATTGTTCCATCACTGTGTTTGATCCAGTGCTGAGGCTCTTCTGGAGCCAGGTTGTGTTTCTTCAGCCAGCCTGGTGAAGGGAGGGCTGGAGACCATGATATTTGTGTGGCACACCCAGGAGGCAGCTCTGTGCTGCTGGCTTAGTTCCCTGAGTACTGCAGTATTTCATCCAGAGTACAACTCACCCACAGGGCTGTGCAAGGGACACAGGGAGACCTCCTTCAATGCAGTGACCTCTTGGTTTTCTTTCTTCAGCTGGAAGGCCACCCTGTTATTGAGCGCACAGAGCTGAACACCAACCACGTTCTGCTATACCTGGAAAAGGTGAGGATGGGGCAGAAACACAGGCATGGAGAATTTTGGCTGCATAGAGCAAAAATCTGGGACTCAAAACTACCATGGCTCTGCTAAAAATGGGACTGAATAATTTACTATCTTTTACTGACTACAAACTTCAAGTTTTTAGACTTAATGCTACTTCTCTCCAAGACCTCAGCCAGCATTCCCTCAACCCTGTGCACAGATTTCCCCAGCAGCAGAGCCTCCCCAAGGATGGGGAATGGTCCCCATCCATGGTTTGCTTCTGCTCCTCAGCCAGCCCTACAGCCCTGTGTCCCCCCGGAGCACGGGTGGCTGGGGAGAGCATGGGAGCCTGGGGACAGAGCAGAGGCACAGGGGAGCCCCTGCAGGGCAGAGCCCCCCTGAGCCTCTACTGCTTCCCTTCCCCAGCTGGGCAGGGACACCCTGAGCTTCTCCTTCACAGTGGAGCGGGACATCCCCGTGCGGGGCCTGAAGCCAGCCCAGGTGAAGGTCTATGACTACTATGAGACAGGTGAGTGCTGC